ATTGAGAGTGCCGGTTATATTTCAGAAGACATCGCTCAAGCGCTCTGTGAGTAGTTCGAAGCATTCTTGACGTAGTTGAAGTATCAACCCACGTATCTGCAGCATAACAGAACGCTAGGAGGACCGTAGAGTCAAAAAGAGTGCGGATTTTCGGGTCCTTGAGCTGGTCGGTGGCTTCTTTGAGAGGCCCGAATGCGGCCCAAACTGCTCTCCTTCTTCTATGTAGTTCCTCCTTCATGTTGTTTTCCATGTTCATTGATCGCCCGAGGAAAACGTACGAGGTGGTCTCTGCAATGAGAGAGCCATCCAATTCAATTTTTACGCCTTCGCACCATTGGTGTTTCATGAACTGTGTCTTTTTTCGATTTATGCGAAGTCCGATCTTTTTCTCCGCCTCGTTGAGCATCACCTCTGCTTCGCTAGTACTTCTTGAGAAGATGACAATGTCGTCTGCAAAACGAAGGTTTGATCGGAATTTTCCATCAATACGTATGCCTTTTTCATCTCAATCGAGTGACTTTATTATCCGCTGCAGTGCGGCACTGAACAGCTTTGGCGATATTGCGTCGCGCTGTCGAACCCCTTTTCCTATGGGTATAGTAAGAGGTCGATGGAAAAGCTGTATTTTCATAGTGCAGTTTCGATAACAGTCGGACAGAGTTTTTATGTAGGACGGGTCTACACCTTGGTCGACGAGCGCTGATGGGATTTCATTCGTTTCGACACTGTCAAATGCTTTTTTAAAGTCGACAAATGTTAGGACTAGAGGTAAGTGGTATTCCTGACAAACTTCGATGACCCTGGACACGGTTTGGATGTGGTCCATGCAGCAAAATTCTTTTGGAAATCCTGCTCGCTCGACTGGTTGCGCCTCATCCAATGTCCTTGATATGCGCGAGAGGATAATCTTCGTGAAGAGCTTATAGAGTACACTTAACAAGCATATGGAGCGATAGTTACGAAAATCGCTTCGGTCTCCTTTCTTGGGCAGGATGACCGTGCGCAACGCCCTCCACCGGTCTGGAATTTTTTTCGTTTTGAAGGTAGCCTGTCATATGATCTGCGAGATGTACGTGTAAATTGTGGCCTCCAGCGCTATGGAAATCGCAAGTGATATTATCGGGTCTTGGAGCTGTGCCTCTTTTCATGCTTTGTATCGCAACTCGAACCTCCGATGGAAGAATTCCAGGTGGTTTTCTCCAGCGGAGGATAGTAGGGCCCTAGACTGGAATTGTGGAACGGAAAAGATTAGTGTGGACCGTTTCCGCTATTAATTCCATATAATGGCGGGAGTTTCTGACGATCCCATCTTCGTTTAACAGGGCTGTCAGCGGAACATTATAATCACACAAGTCCCGGTGGCATTTTTTCATACTGCTTCTTTTCTCTGCTTCTTCCAGTATTTTCTTCTACTTGCACCGTTGTAGATCTTCCTCTTCTGCAACTGGCATTTATTATTAGCCATGTTAAACGTGTTAGAGTAGGATCAAGCTCCAGTTTCCTTCTCTTTTCGAGCAACTCCTTAGTAGAGATGGAGATGCGAGAATAACTGAATTAGTGTTTGTATCTATGGTAACCATCATGTCACACGATTTTCTGTTTAGCGAGAGCTCCGAACTGCGTCAATTGGATTTGAGTGTGCGATCGGAACAGACCGTGAGCTGGGAAGTGTTTGAAGCACAAAAGTACGCTGGTTTGATTTCATTTTCAAGTTACTTTAGTAATAAGTTCATTAACAAAGTGCATTGTTTGATTGAACTTGTTGCAGTTGTTAAACTTTTCTTCACTTTTCGGTGTTTACGGATTTCGTCGTGTAGTAGTAGGTTACTGCGCCATTGAACACAACCTTTCTTGAAGAGTAGGCTGTTGTTGAAACACTTTTGTTTCTTTCGCGATTTCTTGTCCAATTAAGCTCCTTGAAATGTTGGGGTTTCCATTGTTTGTTTTGTTAACTATATGTACTTTGGACATGTTTCATCATTTAAGTCAAATTTGTACCAATTTCATGCAGTGGTTTTGTCTCGAAATCACCGCGTTCTTTGATACGATTTCTTAATCACCAGAGTTTCTGAAAATGTTACTGTAACTAATGGTATTTATCGCTGCTAGTAATTTTCCAGAAAGCAAATCCAGGACGCTCTCAACGCGCAGACATTCCATCAGTTTAGTGCATACGCCCAACAACAGTTTCCTGGACAGCCTGAACAGGTACATCGTATAAAATTCGTTCCTTTATTTTGGTTTCTGTCATGCTTTCTACCCTCTTTCTTAATTTGGATGTTACCAGCATTATTATCACCAAAAATATTGAATTTTTCGAATTTTTTATTGTAGTTGATAGTACTAAGGTGCTATGGACCTTTGATAAAAACAGTCTCTTTACTGTCTACGCGACAAATATAGCTGTGTGGCGTAGTTGGAGCGTTTGACGTAATGTTCGTAGATCCACCAATGACTCGCTGTTATCAGCATAATGTTATCCAGTCCTTCACTTCCTCTTCAACATCTCTAGATACGCTTGTGTCGAAAATGTATATGACCAATTTCTGCAAAGTAGATTATTTATGTCCTCTAGTAGACTATCGAACATATCTAACACAGCATATCATGGCGAAATTTTCCCGCTAAATTTTGTAATTTACATTGGAATGAAACCTTGCTTTTTAGTTTTTTTTTTTTATGGGGATGAGACATAAGGTATCACCTTGTTTGGTTGTTCCTCCTCGTTCACCTTCGTATCACCAGCTAATACTGAACAACGATTTGCCGAAGTAACTAAAGCGGTGTGTAGATTTCGGATAACGGTGTCGTCGACGTTGCGATTCCGAGATACATCCACTTCACGCAACAAGTGAATGTTTCGTAGCCATGCCAACGCGGAAACTCCTTTGCTAAACATATTCTTTTTGAGTGAACATACGTTTTCACGGAGGTGGTGCACCTTACGGTTCAGTAAGGCAGCGTTTCTCTGTGCGCTTGCTTCCTCAAAAGTTTTCTCAAAATTCTTTAAAACTGTTTCTAGTACAGTTTTTTAATGTAACAACTTTTCAGCCCCAGAAAATCTCACTGTGAGCTAAATATATGGCATCAGTTTTTGAACGTTTCACACACATGTGGTAGTTTCGTATTTCGAAGGCTTCCAGTGTAAAGGTGTTTCCAGAGTTTTTTTACTTTTCTTTTCCGGAATATTCCAGCTGAAGTTTTGGGAACATGTAAACAAGTTTACGATAATATCAAAAGGTAATTTTAAAAAAATGGAATAAAACGTTATCACCACCTCATCTTTATTGTACTATGTTCTATTAATTATGTGAACTTCTCATCGGAAAGTTTTATTTTTAATACTGACTCGACTCTCTTCTCTTGTTTATAGCCCTTTACTATTCATTTAAACGATGGAAAATAAATTATAAAGTACTATGAAGCAACCGTTCTATCCTAAACTATAGAGTTTCAATTTTTCTTCGCAAAGAAAAGTTTTTTGTAAATTTTTCTACAATGATTTCCTTCTGAATTTGTTTAGACTGTTCAACTTACACGAGGTCCTTAGAAGCACCTTCGTATAAACTTCCCCTACGCCTTAGTTTATATCCTGTTTTATGTTTCACAAAGGATTCTCAAAGAGGGTTCACACGACAGTGCGAATGTCCCCTATTCGAATGAATGCGTTATAATTGTTGTTTACCTGCTGATCGCTGTGCACTCTTGTATAGAAATATTCTCCAGTTCCCGCTGTGTGGACACCAAAGTGTACATCATTTCATCTGTCACTCTAGCACATTTGTTGATCGTCAACTGAAAGTAAGAATAGATACAACCATAATAATGCTGAGATATGTGTAAAACTCCGGACCACAGGTATCTGCGGCTGGCAACGAAAGCGCTGTTACCCTTTCCGGGGGTTAACGCGTTCACCACCACATCATGTGAGTCCTTCGTTTCGTCTATCTCTCAGCTAGCGCTATCGATCAGCGTCGTTAGCAATCATCCGTCAGCGGGATGGATCTGTGGAGCCCAAATCGGCAACGAACCCCAGTTAAGCTGAGGCTGTAGTCGATAGAACTAGCTGAGAGACAGGTGAAACTATGGACCCGCATGGTGTGGTGGTGAACGCGTTAGTGCTCCGAAAGGGTAATAGCGCGTTCGTTACCCACCGTAGCCTGCGGTCCACAGTTTTGCAACATCTCAGCATCATTATGGTTGTATCACACATAATACTCTGCTATGAAAAATTGTAATAGGCAGTAAATTAAAAAAAAGTTGACATTATGAATAGATTGTCACTAACTAAGCACTCTTTGTACCTAAGACAATGCAATGCTCTTCGGCTCGTTAACTTGCTGAACTAAGACTGAGACATTAGGAATTTTAGGATCAATATAATGAGGATGTTAACATGGTGTGATGATGGTGATGCTACACGATGTTCTTTAGATGTGAGAAAAGTGTAAACAATTGAGCCAAAAGTGAAAAAGCTTATATTATGCTAAGCTGTTTCTATAATCGTGTTTTATACGATCTTGTCAAACATAGAAATGACACTTTGCTAGTTGGCCAATCGCGACAATGCTGGTTTTTCGATGGCGATCGACAATTTTTCTCAGACACGAAAGGAGTGAAGGATTGATAGATTTAATAGAAGAGACTTTGACTTATTCCTGTAGAGGAATTTTTAAGGTTTTTTCACTATAATTTATTGTCTAAAAGTATTAGTACAGTGGCATAAATTAGGTTTCCTTAAACATGGGCGAGGCAGTATTGCTAAAGATCTGAGGTTCTAGTGATTTTAGCAATTAGAGTTATGCTCATTAGGAGTTCAGCTGTACTCATTTTAAAGACTAGAAACGCTGTTATATTCAGCAACTGCATGCAATCCGTTCAATGCCTACAGTCGGGAATGTGTTAGTCTAAGTTGTGATGAACAGCTTTTCGTGAATCTTAGTTCTATTCTCTCTTTGTAAGCATAGGGTGAAGTAAGGTAACATAGGCTAAACAATGTGTTATCGAGACTTTGGACGTAATGGCAATAAATAAATGGCCATAATTGCACATACCTCTTTCAGCTGACATCTCATCAGTGCAATGTTCACTCCTCTAGAAGAAAAATTAAAGCAGTTTGAAAGAATAAGGCGTTTAAGATTTCCATATGTACAGAGCTCATAGATGTCCTCATTGGCGAGTTGCATCGTGTTCCGAATCTCCAGTGAGTGCAATTGAACGCAACAACCAAGCGCTGTGTAGTCGAGTATGTTCTTGCAGTTTATCAATGAGATCTGTTCTATGTTTTGAACTCGGGAGAGTATGACGCGAAGAGATGTATCATTTAAACCGTGAATATTCTGAAAAGGAAGAATCATTTTATGTTCTTGTTCGAGAACTACCACAATTTCCTAAGCATGTGTTTTCGGTTTGCTTATGTTTTGATGCCACATTAGATATACCTACACATTATCTCACGATCTCTCCCTCACGAGCTGACTTTGGATTTTTAACACGCATATTTGATTTTAAGTTCAATTCTTAAGATGGTATAATATAAGTTGGTTAATAATTCCAAAGCTAATTGATAGTTGGTTTTTCAAGTTATATTGCATAGTTCGATGCAAATTCATACATGCATCGTAAACGTTGAACTAATTGTATGTCTAAAACGAATGGTATTGTTTTCATGCTGTTTGCGTTCATTTGTCGAAAGTTCTAGAACACCAGCTTTTAGTTAAATTTTCTTGGAAAGTATAAAAAAGGGTGAAGCTTCCGGCGTTGATCAATACCTGCGGGATGCGCCATACATTCGACTTCATTAAGCATCGTTGGAGGTGATCGAATGCATGTATATCTGGCCTTTACTATGACTGTGGCCTACCGATGTATCGAGATAGCGCTGCTATATTCCCAGAGAAGTCTGGTACCAATTTGCTCGCTCCAAAGGGTTGGAAGGCCTGGTGACCCTGGGGAGCGGGGATCGATCCCAGGTGTGTTGTAAAACATATCGGCACAAAATTATTTTGTGACTATTCAGTGTTATCAACTTGTGCTTTTCACAATCATGACTTCAGCTGGGGAAAGTGTCCAATTTCTGCAATTTCTTATCGGATCTGAGAAAGCTTTATGGGTACAAAAATGGGAGAGGTGACTAAAATTTTAGAGTCAAATTTCTTGTTGTTTCGACGAGTAATTCAAAAGAACATGTAGAAGTAGGTGTACTTTTAGGTTGACAAGTTGTAAAATTCAATTTATGTGGAACATTTTTTTCGGGTGGTCACAAATGGGATAGGTTTTCCTTTGGTTTACTTCTGCATATTGTGAGGAAGCTGTTTGTCACAACGTCAACTTGCATGATTTTTCAAACTTTTAATGGAACTATTCTAAACATGAGTTAGCTCTGTGATCCTGATGGAGAAGAAATAGTAGTTTCTGGTTGCATTGATGAGGTAAATTTCGATCAAACGCAGATGATTTTCGTAGTAGTTGTTGTAGCGTCGGGTTCAGTTTACCATCCACCGCAATGTACCGTGCGGGTTCGATCATAGAGCTTCCCGATTGCTGCGATACGGCGCTTCAGATCCCCTCAACCGTTCAGACGCTTTTGACTAGAGGACTATGTCGTAAGCACGGAGAAATTCTTGGATTCCAAATTCAGCTTTTGCTGGAGGAGGAGAGATTTCCGGTCGCCGAGAACTACTCTGTAGACTTTAAGACATGTTTTAATAGATTTACGAGCTTATTTGGGACCTAACTTCGATTAAAAACCGCCAAGCTCACGTTCAGATGAAGATTTTCCAACTTCGTGAGATTACAGAGTTCGTTGAATTGCAGGTTAGTGTTGTACGAATGCCCGAGTGAGAGGTGCCGTAAATTCTTCATTGAGCTTATTGCCGAAATAATATCTTGATCGAGCACTGGAACAGGCGACGCGTGAAGTTGTTCTAATTGCTCATGGTTTTCTAGGAATTGAACAAGTACTTCCGAAGGGAATGAGTGGGCGCCGCCGATTTCCAGATACCTATAAGTAAAGGAAAATTACTATATTCACAAATGTACTGAAGCTGGGAACTCATGTCTTTATTATTCAGGTCGTGGTTGTCTTATACTCTGTGATTTTGCGACAGCTTGCCATATGAAAAACTTAAGGGAGAAGCACCTACTCTAAAGTTGTTGGTAAATCGTTAAGTTTTGTAAGTCGGAACATAGCAGAACGAAGATTCAGTTTCCGTAATCTCTTCATATATTTGAAATATTCTTGCACCTAAAATATAAAACATTGACAACCAGTAAGTAGTAATCGCAAACCACTAATGCTATCAGAAAGCTATTTGAAATGAAAAATTATAAAGTACAAGTACTGGAGTTCAAGAAGGGAGCGTTGTCCTGCCTCATTCACACAGCATAGCCGTTAATTCGGCTCCATCCACTGAAGGGGCAAAGTTTTTTCCTCTACGCTTTTTCTGTTTGTATGACGAAAGAAAAATAGCTGTAGATCCCTAAGTCGGCTGTCCTTCGGCTTAAGATTACTCTAAACTTGGCGTGAGCATCGAAATATCGAGCTTGTGATTTAGATGACCTTGCTGCGAAGAAACAGGATAACCTTATTCAATGACCAGATGTCGATTCAGGTACTAGTTGACAAATTTAATTAGGAAAGCAATCCTTAGATATTTCACGCATAATATTCATTACAATGAATATTAATATGTGCAAGTACTCTAGTAATCTGCCACAATGTATTATGGCACAAACACTTGATTGTTCGTGATTTATTAAAATTCATTAATTGGTCACAAAAATGAATACGCTTCACCTTTTCAGCATATTCAATATTGACCCAGCTGGTTTCCTCTAATGAGAACTCTTGTAGTTGTGGCGCCATCCTATCCAATATGGGACTCAGATCGGCATCCAAAATTACGGCTCCAAAATCTACGACACTGAGTCGATTGCAATTGCTGTATTTGATATAATGAGTTCACATCTGATCAGGCATATTTTAGAGAGATAAAAACTAAGGCTCACTTGGCAATACAGTCGATAATTGGTTGAGAAATGCGTAGCCATCTCTGACCGAAACTCAGCTGTTCCACATAAGAACCGCATCTCGTAATTACTCCCACTACCGTAGGCAAAAAGCTCAGACTGTCCTTGACAAAGTGCCGCTATTACGAACTCAATTTCACATGTCTCAGTGCAAAATAAATGTGTTATCGAAAGCAGGTGTATAAATTTTAATCACCGTTTTGCCAAAGATCAAAATGTTGTGTGGTACAACACCATGGAAGTAAGCGGTAAGCGATGAAGGCTACATACTATCAAGGAAACGAAAATGTTCACGATTAACACTCACGCTCAAATAGTGTTAACTGAGAATTGAACTTTTAGTTTATTGCCGACTACGTTTTGCAAATCGTCACAACTGCTTTTAAATAAGTTTTTCGTCTTGAACTACATTATTTAGAGGCGCTAACCTGTTGGTAATAATCAGTAGAAGTGTTTATGAGAAACTGTGAAATATCCAATATTACGGTATCCGAAAACGTGGACTGTTGCTAAAAAATGTTTTGTTATCCATATGGTTTTGAATGACTCACCGGCAGTCCACTCACCTGCAGCACATAGTGGAACATACGGCAAACATGTTCAAGTCGGACTCTTTCAGTAAAGTCTAGATTTAGGAATATTTGCGACAGGCAGTCTTTGTTGAGTGTGTCCATATACAATTATCTTAAGAATGGTATTGAAAGATGGGGAAGACATTTACATGTGCAGGTTATCGAATCTGATTTTCGATAAAGCGTCTATTGAAACTGTGTAGGACTAAAAGAGAGTGTGGTAACTTATCGTCATACGTCCCTAACTCACTATGATCGGACCAATGTAAGTGAGCAAATTTCGATAATCATCGCTGAGAATAGCAACAGCGCCCAATGTTTTCATTCCGTTAATTTGCTGTGTGACTAAACTACCACGCTCTGATTTGTAAGTATGACTTTATTGTACATCAGTAGTAATTAGTAATCAGTAAGTAATTCAGTAATTCCCTTTGAGCTTAGTGATACGAATAGGATTGGGCAGTTCAAAATGTATCAACCACAAACACAATTTGTACTTTGGTTACCGTGATTCAGCATTGTCGAACCCTATCCAGCATGAACGGCAGCCGCTCTTTTCTTCTTATAGTTAGAAATTTAATATGGTCTGGAGAACATTGTCAAAGAAAACATAAACGACTTTTAGACGTCAAGTAAATGAACTCACAGTATTACTGAGATGTTTGCTAAACTTCGAACCGCAGGTGTCTGTGGTGGGGAACGAACGCGCTATTACCCTTTCCCTGAGCTAACGCGTTCACCATGCGGGTCCTTCGTTTCGCCAGTCTCTCGGCTAGTTCTATCGATTACAGCCTCAGCTTAACTGGGATTCGTTGCCGATTTGGGCTCCTCAGATCAATCCCGTTGACGGGTGATTGCTGATGGCGCTGATCAATAGAACTAGCTGAGAGACGGTGAACGCGTTAGTCGCTGGGAAAGGTAGTAGCGCGTTCGTTCCCCACCGCAGATACTTGCAGTTCGGAGTTTTGCAAATATCTCAGCAATAATGCTGTTTCTATTTCGCTTAATACCCTGCCATAAAAATTATAGAAGGCAGGAAACAAAAAGTAAACATTGAACTCACAGTGCATTATTTTGAGTGTTCTGGACTAAGCAGGTTTACATGGAGGTGCTGCTTAGCTTGCTCTCTAAATGATGTCAACTGTGGTGATATAACTTTCAATTTGATTAAGTTAGCCCAAGGCTGATTTAGAACCGGCTAATGTTTCGGCGCCTTCGCCTTCTTCATAGCCTCGTTGATCCGAGTCGATGGTCCAAAGCTGGTCTTTGCCGTGATGTGCGTCTTCGTAGTCGCGTAGAATCGAATCCAGTAGATATATTGCTCAAATGGGAAACTTTACTCGGTGGTGCCTTCCTATATAACGTGTCAGCGTGTTTATACCAACCCCATGCCAGCGTAGTCATATAGAAAATTATTGATTTTTCCTGCAGGTTTAGTAAAAGTCGATTTTTAAGATATGCTGATATATTCATTACGATTTTGGTCCATTTTTTGTGCTTTTCATGGAACCGATCTTTACTTAAGCATTCAGTAATATCGAGAAAGCAACTACTAGTTTCTTCTCAAATAAATACATCCTGAGCTAAAAGTTTGTTTAGTGCGAGAATCTACTTTATAGTGCTAGTAGATGAAGTATCCCTAAATAACATTATCGGATGACATGGTATTACTTACATTTGATGATGTACATTTGCAACACTTACAACTTTCGGTGTACGTGTATAAATAGATTGTTGGGGAGGGACAACACTGTGACGACGGTGGTTTGAATAGGTACGTCTGCGATTTGTGATCAAACAGACATAAGATTAGGCGGAGGACGCGATGAGGAACGATGGTAACGGCTTACATCGCTGCCGCAGTCCATCGTTCGAAAATGTGTAAAACGAGGGTTCGACGCTGAACGGCAACAACAGCTGATTGTCTTCTTGCCTCTACAGACGAGACCATGTGATAGAACGTTGCAAAGTGCTTTCTAAAATCGGGTTTTTGTGATTGCGGTTCGTAGACTGGAGCTTATACTACGAATAAGTTTTTTCAAATCTGACGTTCATATGTTAATTAGATTCCTTTGGTCAGTTGACTTCGTCTAAACAGCACTTCGTGGTCTAATGGAGTTTCACCAGATATTTGCCAATGATATAAGTTCATCGTGTGTGGAGTGCAGCCAAACCGAAAAGACAATTTATCACATGTTTTATCTGACTAGCGTGCATTATTTTTTTTCCAAGTTTTTTGCCTTGTCGAAATTGGTGTGAATGAGATTCTGTGTATACTACAATGACTCACGTTCTAGTATTATTACCAAGTGCGCTTGTGCTAGATAATTTTTTTTCGACTTCAAGTGTTGCTGTAATTGTTGGTGGAAAGGTGGAAGATAAACTGGTGGAAATCGTAGGTCTGCTCAAATACGAGACGCGGCTAAACAAACACTTTTTTCGTATTTCATCCCGTTAGACGCCAGTGGCAGTGGATAACCACTTGGCGCTTCCCGTTCAAGTTCTTGTCAGTGAAGGGAAAGGCGAGATGCCGTTTTGGTGACCATGATTAAAACATACATTGCTCTCATTTTACCTGTTGTTTCAGCAGTCTGCACTCATCCGGCAACTTCAAGAGCAACACTATCAGCAGTACATGTCGCAGGTCTGTTTTTTTTTATCTAACATATTTTCCTTTATATTGGAAGGAAGGGAAGGAAATATCGGAGAGTTTTGTTTATTTTAGGAATTTGTGCATAGGGAAGTGTTGCATCTTGATGTTTTTAATAGTAAAGGAAAAGCTCTGAGCGTTGAACAATCTCTGACGGATGCACTATGCATTCGACTTCATCAAGAATCGATAGAGGTGACGGAATGGATATTTAGCCTATAAATATCTCGGCGTGGCCTACCGATTTATCGAGTTAGTGCTGTTCCCCTACCAGATAAGTATGCTACCAATTTAGCGACCCCGAAGCAATGGTATGGGATCGAACCAACGATCATGCCAATATTATACCGTGCATCGACAGGGCATTTCTAATTGCTGCGCTCTACGTCTTTGCTTTAAATGATACATTGTTAGTTGACTCATAAGGCTCTATGCTAGTTTTTTTTAATATTTGCTGATGATTTTTAAGCGCTTGCGGATTTAGGAATTTGGAAGACTTACAGTAGAGGTTTTCACCTCTCGTTCTGAAGTTGTGCGATTTCTATAAATTTTCCTTCTTCTTTTAAACCTTTTTAATTCGAGACTTAAAAAATTTAACAATTTCAAGTTTTTGACTTAAGGAGGGTCATCGTAAACCTAAGTAATATTTTAAGGAGCATCAATCGGACCTCTTTGAAAAGTGCTACTTTTCCAACTGTTGTGCTACTTGTAGATCCAGCCTTGAACAGAAAACTTTTTGGGCTATCAGCGATTAAAATTCCACTTTAATAGAATAATAAATTTATCTCTTTTTGGCAAAGGTTTGTATTTTAATATTATACTTAGAACTGTTTGGATTTTTTTTCAAGTTGAAAAGTATTGGAAGGTTCAGCTATTTTCTAGCACGTTAAAATTATCTATGACTCATGTGTGCATTGTCACTGTGGTGGACTTGTGTCTTGCATGCCTAACTTTCTTCCTGAATGTATGTTGTGTAACACCGAGTGTTTTTATACGTTCAAATTCAAAATATCTAATCAAAAGCTTCCCTACCACATGACCGTGCGCTGTTACTTATGTGCCAAAGGACAGGAAAGAGGTGGTGTGTTACGTGAAACTTTCTTGGGATTCTCGCAAACAGTTGGAATGCTTACACCAAGTTCTTCTGCAATGTTTCGAGTAATTGTGAAATTGTGGAAAAAAAAACATTCACGTCAAAAAATAGTGTTGCAAATCCTACCTTATTATCCAAACAACCCAATGCTTTGCACAGGTGGTGAAGTAAGCGTTAAGTTAGTGAGTCCATGCAAAACTGGCAGAGAGAAAGGCCGGGAGGCAAGAGATTACAAAAGACTGTCAAGAGATTGGCAAAGTGCGCTAAGAAGTGGCTCGTTTTCCACCTGGGTTACTTGGTCCACGTTGTAAAAGTAACACTTTTAAGACTGAAAAATTTCGAATACGAAACTCTCACTCATTCAAAGCGCTTCCTGCGTCATTCGTCTCCCTCTCAAACGAGTTGAATCTTTACTTCGAAATTCTTCAAGGAATAACTCACAGCTAAAACTGTTGACAGAAGTTTAATAAATACAAGTTCTATGGGAGTTTTACCGCAATAAGTAGGCATTTTACTTGTACTTCGACTGACAATATTGCTTAGACGATATGTGTAATCTAAGTTTAAACTGGCAGAGAGAAAGGCAGGGAAGCAAGAGCGTCGGTTTATGTCGTGGATGGATAACATGTGAGCCTATGGAAAGAGTAATCGTGGTTCGAACTGCACCTGAAGTTCCGAGTTTTCCTCATTTTTCAACATTCTTGTGGTTTTATTTCACATGATACCCTGGTATGAGGAAGGAATAAACAGTAAATAAAAGTTAAAGCTAAAGTAATCTAAATTAGTTGAAAACCGGAAGTCATCTCCACGTTTTAGTACCTTGTCGTTTCTTTGTAGAATTTTTCGCTCATAATATGCTTTACTTCTAAATCTTCCACATATTGTACTAAATATCGGTTTCACAGACAGCTGCGAGTACTTTATTCTAACAATTGAATTTTCTTATTTTTGAAAGTATTGAGTTTTTTAAGAGCCGTTGAAATTTGTTCAAATCCTCGTTCACATAATGAAGAGAGCAGTTCAGATAGATGTCACATTGATGCTTGAATGCGGTCTACTGCACTGTTGTTTAGGTCTACGCTCAACACGCCGAGGCTGCAGTTCCTGAAAGCGAACGACGTGTCCCAACGTCTACAGCTGAACGCGCCAATGAAGAGCGGGCACGTGACGACGACAGTGATGTTAGCGATGAAGAGCCTGGGGATGACCTACCTTGTAAGTTTCTGTCCTTGATATCTTTTATTTTTGCTACAATTTATGTTGGAATGAAGTCTTACAAGATTTCCAGAATATTCTGAGGGCATTTCGTATATTTGCTTGCTATGATCAGTTCGCCCGACTCCGTGGCCACCTTTTCGTCTCAACGGTACTTCCTGCTCTAACGTATGCGTCAGAAACCTGGTCGATGCGTAACCAGGATGAAAGGTCACTCAGCGTTATGGAAGGCACAGTCGAAAGGACGATGCTAGGAGAATCCCGTTCCACACAAGTAAGGGTTGGGATCCAAAGCTCCGATCTGCGTCAACGACCAAAAATTAAAGATGCCGTTCTGTACGCCAAACAGTCGAAGATAAGCTGGGCCGGACACTTAATGCGTATGAATGACAACCGATGGACAAGAGCCGTTAGTGACTGGATTCCTCGAGATGTCAAACGTACTGCAGGAGCCCGATGGTCAGAGTTCTTCACAAAGAGCGTTGAAGAAAGATATGATACTCGACAAGTCCCTAGAGCGGGCAGAACCCACTGGGCTACTCTTGCACGCGACAGGGAAGAATGGAAGATTTACTGACGCCCGCTCGAGTCACTCGACGATCAACGGGACTACAGGTGACAGGTGATCAGTTCGCCAGGGTAAATACACATTTTTTGAGGTTGGCAAGGAAAAAGATGTGTTCATGCGGCATTTCGTTGCAGGGGAAGATGTTGTAATGTAACACTGTTTAAAAGTCTGTTAAAAACTTATTTTATTGTCTTATGACATGTTCTGTTAGCAGTAATTTTGTCCATATAATGAGAACTCTTGTGTGCTCTTACATCTATACCATTCCGAATTCTTTACGCCAGCATTTATGACAATGGTAGTGATGCCGCTCATCATGAGCACGGTGCTGGCTCAATCCCTCCCCGGGCTCACCAAGCCTGTCATCCCTCCGGGGTCGAGAAATTAGTACCGGACTCGTCCGGGAAAAAATCACTCTCTGCAATCCAACTGGGAACGCTCCAGTCTGCATGTCTTAGGACTCCAGAGAAAATCGACTCGACAAGCGTTCTACGACGTTCGGAATGAAATGATGATCCTCGAGCGGGAGCTAAAGCCACACGTAAAAGTTGGAAAAGCTTCGCCGATGATGGATCCTAGGAGTTGGAGCGATTGTGAGAAGTGTTGGGATCCGCACAGTAGATGTGAAGACGGGTCGTATAGAATAAAGCAAAAAGAGAAAAAATAAATGGGATCATAATGGTGCTGAGAGATTTGGAAAACTTCGAACCGCAAGTGTCTGTGGTGGGAACGATCGCACTGCCGTTCTTTCCGGGGGCCACCACACCATTCAGGTTAATCGTTTCGCATGTCTCTCAGCTAGTTTTCTATTTACTATCTCATCAGCAATCATCCGTGAACAGGATTGATTTGGGGCCCCAAATCGGCATTGAACCTACTTAAGCTGAGGCTATTATATATTATGGTTGTATTTCACATAATACCCTGTCATGAGAAATTATAGTAGGTAATAAATAAAATGTTAACAAAATAAGTGTAGTTTTAGCGTTTATCATAGTTGCCGGTTTGAATGGAACCGTGTGATACATATCGTCGTTTGTTCGACCTCACGTTCTGGACTTAATATGCCGGACATCTCTCTTGTGTCGTAAATTAGTAAAAGATTTGTTTGACAAGACGAAATCGCTGTTTTTGTACATTGGTAAGCCCACGCAAGTCATTACAATGGTCAAATATGCATTCATCACCTCTACGGTGCTTATGGAAGTTGGATGTGATGTTCAAGGTGGATTCCTTGCTCTTCATTGTATGTTAAGCGGTCCTTATGGCGATGTGGTTTAATTCACTGAATCCTGATCACATTACTGAAAGATGGATATTTCAGGATCTAATCTAAATTTATGATATTCCACGAGTGTTCACATAAGCAAAGAACGGTTGTTTTACTCGGTTTTTGTCTGTTGACAGGTGCCGAATCTTATGAATAGTTCTCCTAACGCAAAAGTTTTATATTAACGTCACGTCTTAACACTTAGTATTAAAATCACTGGATTTGGCATAGGTAATTGTAGGGTTCACTTTCAATTTATTTTTCAGTTCATGCATTTTAATCTGCGCAGACAGGTGTTTCTTAAAATTTTAGAGCCAATTTTACGCTTCCAACCCGACGAGAAAGGTTGAAGTTTCCCTATACTTGGAAGTAGTAGTAGAAAGTCTGCGGTAAATAGACGCATTGCTCAACACTTCGAAGTAGTTTTGTGCTTGAGGTTCGTGAAACGTTAAAGTGCGAAGGGATCTAAACAGTTCATTGTTGGGTTCTTATCTTACTCCTGTTGTAAGCATTCATTTGTAGTAATGACGAAATCTTTGTGATCGAGCTGTTTCGTTTTCTAACTCATATTTTATTCAGTTTCCGCTTATCACAGATCTGTGTAGCTCGAGAATCAGATCCATAGAAAGTTAGGTGTTTATGTTTGTACTTGTTTTGATGTCATTTCTGCTTCATCAGTTCTCTTTAATCCTTCCGTGTTAATTCGTTTTTGTTTTGAAGTGTCCTCCGTACACGCACAAATGGGACTCTTCTGTCACTGTGGGTTTATATAGTCGTGTACTGCTGAAGCACAACCGAAATGTTACTTTCGAATCGTGCTTCACCTTGTTTGATTTTGCTAGTTTTCTTTATTGTTGTGTTAATGTGGATTCGCTTGTAAGCACGCGTGCTTAAGAAAAGTCTTTAATCTCGGCGAAAATTTTAACCGATCGCATCATATTTTCGTCGGTCAGTGGGTAGTAGCGTTTATTGTTGGTGTGAAAGTATCTTTGCAGTGAAATAATGAGTTTTTCTCAGAGAGAAATTCAATATTATTAAAGTGCTTATAAGTGTGTTGCTTAAATTTTCAGCAATTGTGAACCTTGTGTTCCCAGCTTGCTTTGGTCCTTCTTATTGTTGTATCACCTTGCCGATTTTTCTCTTTGTTGCTTCCATGATAACCATCATTTTTAGCGAATCCAGAGATTGCACCTGCATCATTGTGGAATCGTAAGGACATAGTCGAATTCAAAAATACAATAAAGAAAGAAGGAAGCGAAGGTATCATCAAAGTTGGATACGGAGAAACTGTCACTGTAAGTCGTGTCATTATTTATTTCTCATTATTTTAGTACGAAGTGGTTGTTGTTGATATCCATGTTTTGCTTTGGTATTATGAACAATTAAATGCCGTTAAGTGAAACAATATCGGTGAAAAATTTAATAGTGCTCCTTATGAATTTTGCAATATAACCCTAGTAAATCGTGCATTCGGTACTTTTCCTACCGACCTATTCCCTTTATAGTAGTCTGTTTTGTTGATAGCAGCAAAGGTATGGCAGGGCCGTCTATTCGGAAAATGGAGAGCGCTTATTCCGTCTCACACATTTTTGACTTCTTTAATCATCCTCTCTGCTTCGCTAGTACCCATCTAAAACAAGGCGATGTCATTGGAAAACGAAGATTTTATATGAAACTCCCATAAATGTAGCATCTACATTGATTGACGAGCGGTGATAGGAAGGTTTTCATTCTACCGTTATTGAACACATTTCCTGCATTACGGAAGGTAGACTAGTGGGCGGATGAAACTTCTGATATTTTTCTAAAACTTTGTAACTTACTAATGATCAACTTAGTAGAAACCTTAGTAGAATCCTGCTTGCTCATCTGATTGAGTTTCATTGAAATGCTCAACAAGCCTGTACACAAAACAAACAAATGGGGTTGTAGTTAAGAGGGTCTTTTCGGTCACACTTCAGGGATCCCGTTTTATGTATCGGTTTCAATTACTTTGTGTAGTTTATGGCTTTCGGCCTGAAAGTAGTCGACTTTAATGTGTTCTGGTCATGGGTTTTTTTTCTTTTCTTCATGTTCTTGAGGTTACTCGGACTCCAAAAGGAAGATTTCTGGGATGCGTTTTCTCTCACGGAAATTTCATGCTTTGGAAAAAGGATTATGGAAAGTAGACGTTGATTTAGAATGTATTTATGTATATATGTATGCATTTATATATATATGTATATGTATATATAATGTGGTTCATTTATCACTGACTGAGTTATTCGTTGTTCCCATTATACTTCCAAGGTAGCATTAATGCCGTTCCATATTACCACCGTGGGCAGTTGTTGATCGGAGAGAATTTGACTTCTTGTGGCTAGTTGCAGTGCATTAGATTACTATTTCCTATTCTTTTAAGTAGGAACGTTTAACACAGCTTAAGACGTTATGCCTGGGATTATGAGCGTTAGCTTAGTGTATACTCAATGACACTATCTGGCCGCGGAAAATCAATGAACCATCCAGGCTGCCGTAATTAGATAACTTTTCTCTTTACTTCTGAGTATCTTCGTGCGTAATTTGGGGTAGGTTAGACATTTCTGAGCAGTGGAAAAAATGAATGCTTAGGTTCGTGTGCCTACTCACGAAGACGGTACATGTCTATTTTGGGAATTCGCCACGGACTACTATGATATTGGCTTTGGTGTTTACTTTGAGTGGACGATTGCTGATAGCAACCAGGTCGAAATCCTTTTTAGTATGCTTTTTTCGCGTTCTGGATTATTCTAACCGTTCTCGTTAATAGGTGTCAATTCATGTAAGTGAATCTGATGATGAGGATGAATATGACGAGACAGCTGGAGGCGTCGAAGGTGGATCACTGCCAGCTCAAGGTGGTTGAAGCTTTCTATTTGTTGGATTATTTCTGATTACTTCTGCTTTTTAGCGTTCACGTTATACGTGATTTCTCAATATTCATTACCGCTTTTTAAGCCGAATTTTTTGTTGACATTTTCATTTTTTTAGGTGGTAATCCAGCGCTTGGAGACGTGGAAAGTGGAGGACCACCGCGCGCTTTCCGTGACCCTAACAAGCCAAGGCAGGATGAGATTATTCCTGTATACAGGAGAGATTGTCATGAAGAAGTAGGTGTCTCTTTGGTTATGGTTTCTTTTATCTGAGTTCTGGTATCTTTTATTCCTTATTTTTCCCAAATTTCCTTAAATTCATCTCTTCCGTTTCTAGTTCATTATTCATTTCTTTTTTCCTTTCAAATTTAATTTACTATCCAAATCTGAAAATAGGTCTATGCTGGAAGTCACAGCTACCCTGGAAGAGGTGTATATCTCCTGAAATTTGACAACTCTTATTCACTCTGGCGATCTAAGACGCTTTACTACCGTGTCTACTATAGCAAGTGACTCAGCAGTTTAGGAATGGTCCACTATCAGTAATGTGTTTGTTCGCAAATCCAATGACAACAATTACTTGGAATCTTTTGTTTCGTTTCATCTGGTGATATGTGCAGTAGTGTGTCTTCTTAACATTAAGGATACTTTGGTTGTAAAATTAATTTATTGTGGGATTCCCTACCGTATAGATAAAAAACAGGTTTTTTTTTTGTCATTCGTCTCAACACTGTCCACTCTCGTGTTTTTGCTGGCTTTGTCGAGAATGTGAATCTTTATTTATTTCAAAGTTATACTCATGATTTCTGTTATGTGCGAATAAAGATTTCGGCCCATTTCGGTCTTCCCAAATGTTTTGGTTTGAGGAGATTGCACATTTAGTGGTAATCTTTTTGTTTTTAATGTAGTTCTTGTCATTTTTGTTTGGGAGGTTGATGTTTTGGTTGAAGACATCAAGGATTCGAATTGAACTATTACTTTAATCTGAATAATCAATACATTTGTTTACATTGTTCAGCTTAAACGTGGTTGTTGTAAAACTTTTATTCCGTTCACTTCTCGACGTCTTATTCAGAGCCTGTGATAGGATTCGATAGTCTACAGTTGTTCGTTCTCTTGAAGTGGTGTGTTCCTCGTCAAGTTGAACCTTCACTGGAGCTGCGCTCGAATGAGCAACCACAGGACGCTCTTTTATACAGAACGTTGTTGGTGATACCTGTTTGGTCGTTGATAATAAATGGTACACGACTGAATTTATCTTAACTATCCATAGTTAACCTGATAAACGTTGGACAGAATGGCTTATTGTGTTCTGGGGGTGTTTCAATGAGTCTTATTATCGTTTGGATGTGGTCTATGGTACTGAATCCTTTTCGAAATACTGCTTGCTCACATGACTATCCTTTGTTCATTGTTCTATCGTTCCTGTTCAGGATGACTCGAGTGAAAAGTCCGTAGTCGACAGACAGCAGGCAATTTGAAGAAAGTTACCGATATCGTGGAGGTTCCCTTTTTTGAACAATACCAAGATGTTGGTGTGGCTACGGAACCGATCCGAGTAGTAATCCTGAATGGCTATCTCCGTTACCGTCAGTGTAGATGATCGTCCTAAGAGTTCTTGAATCCAATCCTCCTGGAGTCGACTCTACAGTTTTTCTCGTCCATCTGTGGCCCGTTCTCATTATTTGTCCGGATTATCTCTGCTTCGCTATCGACATATGTTCTCCAGACTCAAGAAGAAAGGGTAGATTTCGAGGGTCAGTGTTTCACAATCCTGCTAGGTGTCTGGGTGCCAGTTATATCTCAGAATACATCTCTGCTGCATAACAGAGTTCTCGGAAGATTGCTGAATCGAAGGTATGAGCGCGGATATTTGGATATTTGGCACTTAAGTTGGTCGGTGACTTCTTTGAAAGTCCGAATGCGACTCAAGCTACTCTCCATCTGACTAATTCATCCTTCAGCGTGTTTTCCGTGTTCAATGAACCGGCAAGGAACAAGGTGGTCTCTGCAATGAGGAACGACTCAGTTTGATCTGATCGCCTTCGAACCACGAGTTTTCCATGAACTCGGTTGGTCTTCATCCGATTTATACGTAGTCCGATATTTTTTCTCATTTCTTCGTGTTTATTAATCATCTTCTCTGCCTCGTTGGTATTTCTTTAGAATATGGCTTCAGTTCCAGGTCAAAGGAATTTAATGACTTATACTGGATGGAAATACCGAACACTTAAATTTGGATCACGTGGCCGTGATGACGAACTGAAACAGAATTTCCTTCAAGGTATTCGGGTTTCGAAATCAATCGGAGCTTCATGAAATAATCCCTGGAAAATTTATTCCACTTCAGCATTCAGAATAGCACACACTGAAAAAGGAAATACAGAACTTCCTATTTTCCGTATTCCTTGCAGCAACTGCTAAAAGTTGACCTGATTAGATGACGGATTCTTTTGCTTGCAAGGTAAACATAATAAGAGAAAGGACAATCACGAAGTCAAATTTCATTAGTTTTCCAATAAATGTAAGAATCATTATTCTACGTAACTAAAAGGTTTCTTCACTGTGTTAAATTTGTTTTTAGTTCCTGGTCTATGCAAGGAACCCAAAGCATGAGAAGTAACCTTTAGGCAACCTGAAAAATGAGGAGCTTAAAAAGCACCTTTGAACCATGCACTCACAGGTTGAGTTTCCGATGTTGTTCTTTCAACAATATTGATTTTATCTTCAGATTATATGGAATTTGCCAGAAAAGGCTAAAAATGTATGTTTTCTCTGACCAGTGCCGAACTTATTAGTGCATCCAGTTTCTGTGTATAACGGACGCCCGACCAATTAATACGTAATTGAAATCCGTCGGAAAAAATAACTACGTATGGGTATGCCTTTATCTTTCTAGCTTTTTTACACTATGATCACTGCGACAGAAGAACTGCTTCTCGGTACATGCGATACTAGAAGAGTTAACGGAGTCGCCATTATCGTCTCTGGGAATGAGCATTGATCCATTCGAACAACTAACAACCAGAATCAGACGTTTACAATTGAAGACATGTGAGCCAATACCGTCTTCGACAATGTTCGTTGTTTATTCACACATGTCAAGCTATGGTATCAAGTTTACACTAAGTTAAAGCATTCTATATAGACTCTGCGAAGTCCTGCAAAGAAGACCATACGTTCTATAAAGCCATTATTCAGATTTTAAAGGTAAGATTTGATCCAAAAGAACGTCTGAAGAACGGTACACTGAAGCCCACTAGTTAGAATAGAAGCAGCAGGATCAGAGGTTGTTTGAGTTTATCATAATGACCACGGCCATGCGTGTTAACTCACAATTCCAAAAGTTCAGCTTTCGCAGGTGGTTGTGCGTGTGTCTCAATGGACAGTACCACAACGGAAAAAATCAAATCATGATAAATCAAAGGCTTTACCTAAACAATGTCGCTGTTGTCCGAAAATTTTGCATGGGATCAGACCATCGCTTCCTTCGTGCGAGACTCCTCGCGGAAAGGAGGGAAAACAGCTAAGTTTAAAAAAAATGAACTCCCAAAACGACCGTAAACTGGGACTTACCTAGATCATTCGTCTGTTTTTCGAAAGATACCATTGGTGATAACATCAGTGATAAGTACAGTCAGCCCATTCACCATCTTCGAGCTAACGCTATAGAATCTGAGAGCTCCAACGTCTCCGAGATAAGCCTGTCGCCAGAATACACGAGGTGACAAATCTTATGAGCAATCGTACGAACCATACGTAACCGCCTATTGAGGTTGAACTTGCAAAACAATGCAGGAAGGCGATAAAGGAAAATCTCAAGGAGAGAAGAAGACCAGAAATTATGGCCTAAGCTGCAGAGGCTGGGAAGAGCAGTCGCAACGATCACAGGAACTTCGCCAATTACATGGCCAAGATAATTACAACTCGACACCTAAACGGAATAGTAACAGCTTCTACAAATGTCAACAGATCTAGCTGAGAGACAGGCGAAACGAAGGACTCGCATGGTGTGGTGGTGAACGCGTTACTCCCCGGAAAGGGCAATAGCGCGTTCGTTCCCTACCGCAAGCACCTGCAGTCCGTAGTTTTACAAATATCTCAGCATTATAGTAGTTATATTTCGCTAAACATCCTGCCGTTAAAAAGAATAGGCAGTAAATAAAATGGTTACGACTGTAAAATAGTAGTTAATATATCTCATTATAAAAGGTTCAAATTAGTGTGGTACAGGATTTCAAATTATTCCTCGACTCTAGAGATTTTCGAAATTGCCTTGCAATACACATGGGATCGATCTCCGTGCCCAAGGCTCACCAAGCCTTCCATCCCTTCTGCGTCGGGAAATTGTTACCAGACTTCTGGGAGGGTAGCAGCGATGGCTCTATACAACGGTAGGTCACTGCGAGTCATTGTAAAAGCCAAATATGATATGCATTCAATCACCTTTAACAATTCTTAATCAAGTCGGATTCGTCCCTCAGGGATTGATCAATGCCGGGAGTTTTTTATGTTTTAATATTTTATCCTTAAAGTAACGTTTCGAAATCACATGTCAGCTGGATAATAATAAAAATTAGTCACATTTTAGTCATTTAGTCATAGTCACAAAAGCTGTAGCTTTTGTGTTCATTAGGCTAATTCTTGGTGACCTAGAAATACGATATGAATCTAGTAAACTTCGGGGTATTGAAGGTTTTATTACCACTTACACTGCTTAGGTGCGCAGCTTTCAATATTGTTGGTAACTGCGTGTTCGGCCTCTAAGTGTTCATTGTAGTACCTTTCATGCTCGTTGTATTAAAAAACCGCTGCTTGAAATATCTCCATCTGTGTTTTCAGCTTTTTGATGCTGTAATGTCTTCTTCTCGTTTTTGCTGCGAGAAGTACTATGCTCTAAGGCTGTCGGTTGACTAGGCCGTTATCAGCTTTAACAGCTCTTGTAGCCTTCACTCTTTCGTTCTAAAACTAACCACTGAAGAATAGATCCGGGCATGCGAACTCTCGTTCCGAAACTTTTCCTCGGTATTTTTATCCAAAATGTGGTTTTTATGATGTTTTCTTCAAGTGATGTTCAGAAGGCGAAACCATCGTAAATTATGGTTTGAATTTGCCTTAGCGGCTTTTGTGAAGACATCGTTTTCCACATAATTAGTAACCAACCTGACCACTACTATGATAATAAAAGCAGAGGATATGAAGCCCAGTTAAAGTCGAAAGAGAGCGAGCAGTAGTAATTGCCGAGGCAGTAGAACTTCGGAGGAGCATCTTTAAGTAACACGACCCCGCTCTTGCAAGATTAATTAACCAGTCTCCTATGTCCAAACGAACCAGTCACTCACTATGTTCAGTAAGGTACTGAAGAAAGACATCCCTTTATACTTTCATTAAAAATTCGCATCATTGCACCGTTGTTCGTTTTAGGAAGAAATTATTAACATTTGTACTAGATTAATATGAGCTTAAAATTTTTGTATCGATTAACTTATGCAGCATCCTTTTTTTAAGGAATC